AATGAGAAGCTACAGTGTGCCCTGTCACCCTTGAATATTTAAAATGGCTGCCACTGCTATGAGAAGAAATCCCAAGGGGAAATTTGACCAAAGTGGCTTCTTATATGGGAACTGTTTGAGTCCGAATACTGCTGGAAGTTTGTTTGACCTAGCTATTCACAGTGACCACATCTTACACTAATATTCTTAGATTCCAAGTTATTTGTAAGTCAATAAAGACCATCTACTTCTTTTACATAAAGCACATTATAATTTGGATCATGTATCTAGAATTAGCTGTCTTGGCATTGCAAAAATGTTGCATACAAACAGCTTCCATCCAAAGATGATAATGAGGTAATGTTAATAGAGATAAATTAGATTTCTGTAAAAGTTGCCTACTTGAGGATGCAAGCAAACTTCATAGCTGCCAAAGAATGCTATATGACCTATTTATACAGTCTATAACTAAAAATTATATAATTAGAGTTTAGGAAGGCCGGAATTCAGTGTGTGCTGGATGCAGTAGTATGTGACAGAAAAATGTACAGCAGTTCATACTGAATGGGTTTTATTTATTTTTAAAGTGGCATATGCAGTTGGATAGGAGAGGCTGTAACTATGTAGTTTGGATGTGTATCTGATGCATTTCGTTTCTAAAGTTTGTACCTGTAATTGCACTGTACATTACTTGTAAAGAGGATTATTCATTCTTTGCCATTCCTATCTTGAAAATCTAGGCTCAGAATGGAATTTCAGTGCAAGGCTAAGAGTAGCAATTTTTTTTCTAGGAAAATTGTTAAGTATTTTTCCAATCCACTTGCTGTATCAGTCCAGAGAGTGTTCCCTATGTCATGCTAGCCTTTGCGATAATTGACCATGGACCCAGGGCAGAAAGAAAGGTAAATAGGCTTCCCCCACATTTACTAAGATTACTTAGTTTCTTATGCAAGTTTCCTCTTGGCAGGCTCAGAGATGTTGTTAGGAAATTCTTAATAAATCAGGATGATGCTATTCACACTATGAGTAGAAGCAAGAGACATGGGCAGAACCATATTCTGGAGCTAACCGGGTGAATTTGGACTAGTCATGTACTCTCAGCCCAACTTATCTCGCAAGGTTCTTGTGGTGAGGATAAGACAGAGTTGTAAACTGCTTTGAGTTTCTTGAAAGGGAAAAAGGTGGAATATAAAGAAAGAAAGATAGTCTAAAAATACTGTAGGAGGAATACAGTTTTGGCTAAATAGAATAGAAATGGAAGACCAGTCACAATTTGTTTATATGGGTATTGTTGCTTTTAACTGAATTGATACTCTGTTTCATAGGTAAGAGCATAAACGAAAAAGATTTTTAACTGGCTTAACTTAGACATTACTAAGTTTCATTAAAAGTAATGGCTAACTTCTCTGTGTCTCACTGACTTTGAGCCACTTACTGATGCTCAGCCTAACCTACCTCCCAGGGTTGTTGTGACAAGCAGATTGAGAGGAGGAAAAAGGTTGTAAGCAACCTTGAGTTTCTTAAGGAAGAAGGGTCAGATATTACCATAATAAATAAATGCATTCTATATTTTTTTTAAAGAATGACTAGATCTTGTGACTTGGTGTGTATACTTGAAACTAAGTCTTGTGTTTATTAGAGCTACTCCCTGGTAAATGTATCTAAGATTTTTGTGGTCTTCAATTACTAGTGAAGCAAACACGATTTCATACTTTAGAATTCTTTTCCTAACTTGGTTCATCTGGCTTTATCTTGAAGCTGGGGGAAAAGTTCCTTATGGCCCATTTGTTAGTGGGAGTATATGTAATCAACCATAAAGTGTGAGCTGGAAGCTCACAGATCTTGAATGGTAGCGTCTTCTATAATTCAAAGGCACAGTTTTAAGCCTCTGAAAATCATGAGAAGTTTTTGCAAAGATCTCTGAGTTCTTGGTTCTCTTAGTTTTGTTCAAGTGAGTGAATGCTTGGGACCAAAATGGACAATACTTTAAAACTGTGACTACTCACAATGTCTTTTTTCCAAACTCTAGAATAAATACAGGGGGCCTGATTCAGATTAAATCTGTAATCTGGGAGGTAAAGCACATTTAAGGTCTCAGTGTGCCTATTCTAGAATAAAAATCAATGTAGGCACTTGACATTGTCTTGAAGTATTATCTCTTTGCATCCTCAGATATGACAAGCAGAGTTTATGCGAAAGAAAGTAATGTGGTTAGAAATAACTTCTGAAATTTTGTATGTTGGAGTGGAAATACAACAGTTTTTACATGCATAAAACTGGATATTAAGCTGCATTTTGATTAAGGTTAGAGTTAGTTTCAAGTAACTGTTGGATTTTATTCCTACCTTTTCCATTTGTCTTTCCTAGCAGTTCTAGGTGCAGCCTGAAACCTTTGTTAGCACCTGGAACTTAGTCCAATTAAGGTGGAAATACTGTACATTTTTACTTGGAAGTAGGTTCCATTGTATTCCATGCAGAAAACATTCATGAAGAAGACAAGTATGAGATTATACTGCTAGTTGCCTTTTCCTCCCATATTTCCTATTAAGTTTCTGGCTAAATGCACACTTCCACATGAAGCCCTTTTCTTTTCCTTTCTTTGGTCCCACTTTGCTTAACGTCTAGCCTTATGAAGAATTCTGGAAAACATGCAAAAGATTGCTTGCCATTTTGTGACATTTGGATGTTCCTAACCATGTATTGCTTGACTAGATTTGGGAATTATTTACAACAGGTTATTATGAATATTGAAGGGCGGGTAAAATGACTAGTGAAAATTATGTGAAGTGTGTTGTGGTAGAGAAATGTCAAAATGCAGAATTGAATTAGGTGTAGCCTTTCCACATTTTCTTTTTTATTTTACAGCATATGCACCATGAATGAACCGGCTTCTAGTGGAAATGGACAAGACTTTGATGTATTTAGCGTAATGGACTGGAAGGATGGAATTGGTACCTTGCCTGGAAGTGATCTGAAGGTAATATTTTGCAATATTAAATAGGTTTTAAAAAGAATAATGTAACCTTGGAGGCAGAGACATGCATATAGAGAAATACAGTTTAAAGGGTTAGGGTTTATTTAAAAAAATGGGGGCTGCTTTTTAGTAAAGGAGTGCCAAATTCACTTATAGAAAAACAACAAAATCATTTAAAACTGAAATATAAGATAGAAAAAAGTATTAATTTTTAAACAGAAAATAAGAGCTGCAGTTAAAAATGTGAACTCAACAGTGAAACAATGTAAAAGGGAACAACTTGACACTGAAAAGATGATAAACTTCATGTTAACTAGTAGCCTCAGCATTCTGCAATTGGGGTTCTATCACTGAAATGCTGTATATCTCCATTTGTTGCCCACCTCACTTTTGCTAAGGGTGACTCTTGGAGAAAGACCTCTGCCACAGATTTTAATGGGCAACTTCATATGGCAGGAGATCTTTCAAATACTCTTGTCCTAAGGTCATGGGTACTCTAGAGGCCCGTGAAGCACCTTGAAACAAATTAGAAGTCCATGAAGATCTTTCAGTAGTGTCAAAATAGGTTCCAACAAGCCAGTAATAGTTAACAGTCCACTGTATTCTCAAGCAGTTATAGTTACTAAATAATTTCAGAGTAACTCCATGTACTTGGCAGTAGTTACATCTTGACATTACTACCATATTCCTAACTGTGGCAACACTGCCTCACAAGATGGGCCTCAGTTGAACTATCAAGTGTTTAGTGCCATGGAGAGCACTAATCCACAACACCCCCAAGCTGTGAGAACGATCCTTTTCTGGTAGGGCACACTATTTGGAACTAGTGGAACACCGCCTCCTAAATCCATCCAATCATTAATTCCTCTGTCTCGACTAAACTGAGTTTGAGTACATTTCCCTTATTCAGCCCATGAGCTGTCATTAGTCATTTTGTCTATATGTTGAATAGCATAGGGGCAGACAGAGCCTTGTATAAGTTCATAACACAATTGTCATGCAAGGAAACAAATATCTTCTAGGATCTCTTTCTGGAAGTGGTCACCGGGTCTGAACAGAAACTAGTGCTGAAAATAATTATTAGGGATAGACCATGAACCCCATTAAGCACTGCAAGTTTCCAGCCAGTTATTCCAACCCAGCAGAGTCTTTATAAGCAGCCTGATAAGCTGTTGAATGAATATAGTGCCCACCTGAATAATGTAGAACGAAAAACCAAAAGAATGTCTGCCAGGTGTGTTTTCTGCCCAGAGGCAGAAAAGTAATAGAAAAATACAGATCTTTCATGTTTATTTTCTGTATGCAGAAAGATACAACCAGGGATTACTTACTATACAGTTCCAATAAAGAGTTAGCTGCATGGAGATTTGAGCCTGGCTCGTGTATTGTTATACTCTAATCGCTATAACAAATTGCCTGCACACTGATATGGATAGAGTAAGCAATTCTATGAGAAAAAAATTCCTTAAAGTGTTGCTGTTGTTACATTACCACCTGAGGAAGCTAAGGCAGCCTACATATTTTATCATCACACCAACAACTGTTTGAGGTTCACCCAGTGAGCTTCATGGCTGAAGCATGGCATGTAAAGTTTCTTGGGAGCATCACCACTTCTGACCTCCTTAAGTGCCCCATTCAAAGAGAGAATGGCTGGTCACAGAAATGGGAACGACTAAAAGGATTTTAAAGCTAGCCTGCATGATTTGAATCTCAGATAAATCAGGACTTGGAGGCAAAGCAGTTTGCTTCTAGTAACTCAGGTAGATGAAGTGAGCCACAGATGAGAAGTAAGAAAAATGTCTTAAGTGTCATATGCTTAACCATTCTAACCTTGCAGGATGGGCAGTTTCTTCCTGACTTCAAGAAAAGAATAATAAGGAAGAAAGTTATTCTATGAAGAGCAATTACTCACATTGAAATGGAGATCCTTTGAAACTTTTTCTTCTAGCATCTTGTACAGGAATAAAGATTACACTTCTCTTTTTTAATGTTGAGTGTTGTGCTATTTATACTAAGCAATTTTATACTTTTCCTGGGGCCATCTTTCCAATTTGAAAATTTTCTGGAAGAAAATTACAGGTCTTGTAGACTTGTTCATTATTCAAATTGTTTTACGATTTATCATGTGATTTGTTTCGGATTTGTTTGTGATTATTAATAAAATATAAAAATGAGGCAAAAAGAAAAGGTAGTGGAGCAAATTGGGTATTAGCATGGTAGACAGTCATAGTCTAATGCAGGGTTTCTGTATTTGGAACTTTTCCATCTGGCAGACTAAGCAGTATGTTCAAATGAGAAACACTTCAGTGCTTTACAATTGCTGAATGCTGTGTAGAGGACTAGAAGAGCTGGTATCTACAAAGCTGAAGAGCAGATATAAATGTGAAGTACTCTGCTTTTTTGAATCACTCTGATGAGTGCACACAATCATGATCACCTCTGGATTCAAGTGCTTCCATCAAGTTGGACAAGCTGCAATAATTTAAAATTGCTTCCTGGTGGAGTAGCAGTGTATGGAATATTTTAGGTTTTTCTTTTTCTCAAGTGCTGCATTTTGAAAGTGGAATTACAAGTGTGCCTAGTACGTTGTTATTGCATCCAAACAAGTGAAAGTATTAATTTAAAAATCTCCTTGAAAATAGGTGCAGCCTGGAATTATGTTTAGAAAAGGCATGTGGAGAAGCTAACAGCCTGGTAGGGGCAGTCAGAGACAAATCTACCATCACACCTATTTTGTTGCTGAATACATGTGGCTTTGGTTTTTTCAGTTATTTTTTTAAAAGCTTTATTAAATACTAGTCTCTTGGTAACTGATGGACCCCTGGCATAGCCCAATGAATAGTACTCTGAAGTTGATTTGAAGATACTAACCAACTCACTGATACCTTTTCCGAATTACTATGTAAAGGCAAAGCACTGGGAGAAGAAGTTATTTCTTGGGGCCTTAGGAGAATAAGATTTATGGAATATGACCATGTGCAATATCATATTGCAACACAGTCCTTTTTGGGCATCAGAATCTGTTATAGGAGACTAAAAGCTTTGGTTCTGAAGAAGTTCTCTGGAGAGCTTGTTTGTACTGCAGTGATTCAGAGCAGAGAGACAGGAGTGTTTAATTATATCTACAGAAAGAAAATGTACCAGGAGAAGGAGCACTGTAGCTGTGCTAGCTCAAAACATCTGGAAGACACTGAGCTGGGAACAGTCAGGGGGTGTGGTGGTGGAAGGGCTTATAATCACTGGCATTGCAGCAGGTGTGGTGAAGAAATTAAATCCCTTCCCTGCTGTGCTGTCTTCTGGAGCTAGTATTTGGTTTGGAGGTAAATTCCCCTGAAGTAGGCCACTCATTTTACAAATACATATGCACAAATATATACACATATATTATAGTGTTAGCATTATCATCATTAGTATGGCAGTCATTCTACAGATATATAAATGTTGTTACTATCACCATCAGTATGCATGGCACCTTACAAAGTACAAGAGAACAGGGTCCTATTTATCTTAAACTCAAAACAGAAATTTTAAAAAGAAAAGCATGTACTGGCCTTTGAAATGTTGTGTATGACTGTACTTTCTTTTTTGTTGTTTTTTGTTTTGCCTTAGAAAGGGAATAGCATGGAAGGATGGGCCCATCTGAACATTCATTCTGATGAGTTTCCAGTGGCACTTGATTATATTTTTATAATCCACTAGATGGTGCTGGTGTGTTATATATATATTTTCTAGTTCATTTTTGTTTTCACTTCTTTTCTTTCTGTTTAATTACAGACAGCTAGGTTTATTTCTTTTCTGTTTCCCTGTAACTCTTCTCAAACTGTTATCAGCATAAAGTAGGGATTGGAAAGTAAGGCATTGGGTACTCAGCTGAGCCCTGGAAAAGCTGCCTTCACCCACATGGAAGCCGAAACATGAGCAGATAGGAACAAACAGCTGACAAATGGGAGTTGCTTAAAGAGGTCTGTAAGCTTATACAGATTTGGTAGACTGAGCCAGTGTTGATGTCCCATTGGTTATTTCTCAGTTCAGAATATAGCTCAGTTAAAAATTGCCAAACATTGATTTAAAGAGGCATATTAAGTTTTCCCTTTTAAATTTGTGTATTTATTTATTTACTCTACTAATGAGAGTTAGCATTCAGTTTGTTGTCTGATTTGCAAATTTACCATTAGAGTAAAAATCCTAATTATCAGGATTAAGCACTTCCCTGTTTGCTCATAGCAAGAATAATTTCTTGTAGTTGTTTAGCCAGGGAACCTTGTGTACTCTCGAAGAGAGTTCATTAATTTATTTCTTTCTAGCAATCAGTATGCCCATAAGGGTGAACAAATATTATTTGGGTGACATTCACAAATCAACATACTTTCCATTCTTTCCTTCCCTATAACATCATTTTATATGACATGATTCCACGATCTTGGAAAATCCACCTCAAAAATACCACTATTGGTAATGTATTCAGTACTGAGGTTTCCATTTGCCCAACTGAATGACCATGTGCTTTGGGCATACAAGCATATAACCAGGCCTTTTGTAACTCTGCTACTATGTATTAACTTGGACTTGAAAGTTGAAATGGGGTTAGGTACCATGGCCTTTCATACTCCTTATTTTCCCAGTAGGTGTAATTCAGCATTCTGGATACTGTCAACTATAGTATTCAAACACCAAATGAGCATCTTTTTAAATTAATTACATTAAAGACTTTAATGCAAGCACTCTGAATTCAATGCTAGCATTTTCAGAAATAAAGCATATAATTGCTTAGCAAGTAAATGAGACTGCTTACATCAGTGCTGGCTTGTACAAATACTACTCTTGGAAAACGGAGCAAGGCAGAGTTCAGGAATTTATATGTATCATCTTAATAGTAGCTTCTGATTTTGAAACCTATGTTTCCTTATGTGTAAGTGAGAGACACTGAAAATGGTAGGGCATTTTTGCAGGAGACAGGGAAAGGATTAAAGTAATTAGGAAGTCAGGTAGTATGGTGATAACATATCATATATATTATTTATATTTCTATATACACCAGAGCTACATAGACATAAAGAATAAAAGTATAACTTTTCTGTTATTTACCTATTCTTAAAATCAGTTTCGTGTGAATGAATTTGGTGCCCTGGAAGTGATCACTGATGAAACAGAGATGGAAAATGTTAAGAAGGCCACTGCTACCACAACATGGATGGTGCCAACTGCTCAAGAAGGTCAGAACTTTGGGGTTAACCTTGTATATTACCAGTTAGGGAATAGTCAAGTTGCTGATAAAAATCATTCCCTCCCCACAAAGATGTTATTTGTATCTCAGTGCAAATATCAGCTGGGTGGAGGAATGCTCACAGCTGCAGCAGGGAGGGACTACACTGCTCACTGCAGTTCCAGTTCTGATGAAACCCTCTCCTTGCCATGCCTGCTGTTTTGTCTTTTAATAAACTGCATTAAAATAAAAAAGAACTTTAATGTAAGGGTTGGCTTACATTGCAAGTACGGCTTCAAGTCAACAGGGCACATGTAGAAGAATACTGTTTACATGAATTGTGCAGCTGCTGTTGATTAGAAATGTAGCTTTCCATTCACTACAATTTTTTTTTCTCTTGGAATCGTTGGTTAGGTCACTATTTGAAGACAATTTAACAAGTTTTATTTGTGTCTTTGATTATTAATAGTTTTAGGCTGCCCTTTACCCATGATACTCAGAACAAATTACAGATAAAACCTTAACATACAATAAAATCTTCATAAATAAATCATGGCAAGCAGATAAAATCTAACATGCACTGATTATAAACTGTAAGAGCTATGAAGCTAGTAAGACAAAGGTTGCAGTCCTAGAGTAGGATGAGTTTACATGACATGACAGTTTACCCAGCAAATACGCTATGAAGTGTGGATTGTTTGTGAAAAATCATGAGTATCAGGTTCAATTTTAGTTGTCCCCACGTTCCTTCCCCCTCAATCCTCCCACGGCTATTCAGGGGAAGTCTGCAACTGGACCTGTCTTGTCTCCACCTTTCTTTGCTGGCCCTGAGCTTTTATTCCACTCCTGCAACATTTTTTACCTTTCCCTGTCTTTCTTTCAGAGATTTCTTTTAATTATGTCTAAGCAGACAGCCAGTGATAACTCCTCTAAAGTGCCTAAGTGCTTGTATATTTTTTTAAAATTCTTTGTCCCTACTATGAGGAAAAAGGTTTGTAAATTTGTTTTAAAAACTTAGAAACTTGCACAGGTGCACATTTGCACAAGTCTGCTGTGCCTGGGTGATATTTTGAGAGGTCTCTGCTGTCAAAATCTATAGATAGTAACCTAGAAAGACTGCAAATAGTTTTACTTTGCTTTCCCTTGACAGCTGTCAAAAGGTGAGCTGTTGAGAAAAGCAAAACTGTGGTGACTTTTTCTCTCAAAAGAAGGTGGCCTGTGGATCACTCCTTTCTTTCTCAACAATATCTTCTAATTTGGACCTGGGATGGGGTGGATCTAAATGACTAAGAAGTGTCTTGCATCTGTTTCACCCTTTCCTGAGATTCTAGGTGCTTAAGAAGATGAAAAAGTGTAATTCAGTGGCATGGTGGCAAGAGGAACAACTAGGAATCCCAGTGGACGAGTTGCAGAAATTGCTAATACAGGGAATGAGGAAATTACGAATTCTGTTGTAAAGGCACCTGGAGATACATGTTAGGGAAATAAGGCATGGCAGGCTGCAGAATGGTCTTTGTCAGTGTGGATTAATGTGACATTCAAGCTTGCCAATTAGCTTTAATGGTTGTTTCCATTCTAGAAGATTAAAAGGTAGATGCAGGGCAAGTTTGCACAGCACAGTAATCTAACCATGTGAATAAACTATGGCATGTGAATTGTTTGTGAAATAACCCATGGTGCACACAACAATTGGACTCATTGTAGTTTATCTGTCTCTCCTTCCCTCCTCTGGTCTCTCTTTAGATTCCTGGGGGACTTGGTCTCCTCTTCTTGCTTCAATTGCAATTGCTCTTGATTGCTACCAGCACTTTTCCTCCTTTTGCTTCCCTTTGGAGACTTTACAACATCTTCCAGTGAAATCTGTCAAAACAACCCTTCTTTGCCCTTTCAAAAGCCATACTTAAATAAAATCCTTTTCTGTAGGCAGCTGTCAAAAGTCTCTGTTTATGATAGAGGCGATTTTGTAGATCCTGTCTTTCCCAGATGCTCAGGTGGAAGTTAGTAAAACCAGTTAGGGATTTAATTTTAATTCAGTTTTAAACTAAAAGATCACAGTGCTAATGGCAAGATATACCCAGTACCCCTTTTTGCAAATAAAGCTCCCATCCAGACTTTGTGTTTTTCTTGACAGCTGTCAAGGGAAAAGCAAAGGAACAAATTAACCTATTTGTAGCCTGCCTTTGTCATTATCCATAAATGTTGCCTTTTGCACTTTGACAGGTGACACTCACCAGGACATTAATAAAGCGAGTCTTCACATTTCAGCTAGTTGGAAGTGTGAACTTGCGTACCTCAGAATGATAGATGCAAAAGTGCATTTAAACATTTTTCAAAAATATTTGTACATTTCTGGTTTGCACTCTCTTTGTGCATGTGTGTGTGTCTGTGCGCATATAAAGGGAGTGAACAGTGATGGCTTCTCCAGCGTGCTGCTTGGGCACTTTGAAAGGGCTTTCAACACAACATGAAAGGACCCCAAAAGAAAAAAAAAAGAGCTGGTGGTGACCAGAAAAGGGTTGCGATCAGAGCAGAGAGAATGATTGTTGCTCCTAAGTGTCACTTGGGCAATGATGGAGCAGCTGTTGCTGCAGGGGCAGAAGTGAATTTGGCAAGTTTGAAGCACTTTTTGGAGCAGCATAAGATATTTTTGAAAGGCTTGGATAAATTACATCTGCAGTAGTATTTTTGCATGTCATGGTTTTCAGATATGTCTGATATTTTTCATGTGTATAATCCCCAAAACTCACTTTACTTTCCACTATGCAGCCTTCTCAGAAAAGACAGAAGTACCACCAAAGTTGAAGGAAACTGCTGCTGTGGATGGACTCCATTTCTGTGAAAGCTGTTTTCACTCTGGAACCACAATGGAGTTTGTAGCTGGAGAGAAATCTTGTAGCCAAAAATGTGCCCATCCATTGAAAAACAAGTAAGAGTTGCTATAGCACATGCAAAATAATTTGATGTGTAGAAACAAAGGCTGCTACAGTATAGGTGAACTTGAGGCAGCATGAATAATCTTGGTGAATCAGATGACTTTAAAAATACTATTTATGTTATATTTGGATTATCTAGTCATCAGTGTTTTAGCATGTATATCTGGATAGAAGGAGGGGAAAAGAGCATTGTTTTGTACCTGTAATGGGTATACTGAAGGTTCTGATAAATACAATGTGCTGGATACTATCCTGAGTTATGTAAACAATCCAGAACTTTGCCAGGGGCTTCAGAAATCATGACAGTTACTTTCGAGCTCATGGAAGTACCACCCCCTCAATAATTATCATTTTTGCTTGTGGACTATTCTATACGCTTATAGCGCAATTCTGTACATTTATGCTTAGGAATAAGCTCCTCTGCCTTTCAGTAACACTTTTTCTAAGATACATGTACAGTATCTAGCATTGCAGGCTTAAGTGGAGCTGTTTTGGTTAGCATCCTCCTTTGTATACAGGGAAAGCCAAACAGAAATCTATATCTGTTACCTAAGCAGAAAGAATTATGTGGTGTTTAACCAACACTTTAGACTATTTGCCCAGAGCAGGGATCCCCAAACATTTTTTTAGCACATAGTCACATCAGAACTTGAGGTCACATGGGAAAGCATCTTGGGCATTGCCATGCAGGCATTGCCTATTCACAAAATGACTGCCATGGTAATTCTTTCCACTTTCTCACCCCACCTTAGTCTCTCAGCAGATGCACAAACAAACGGGGGGACAAAAAAACTAAACCTAGACAGGAAGGGAAATATGGTGAAGAAAAACATTTCTGGCTTAGCTCTGTGCAATTCCAAACCTCATATCATTCACATCCCATTTCTGAATAAGGAAGGCAGTGTGTATTGGAAGGAGAGCACAGAGGCTTTGTGGGGACTGGCAGAAGCTTTCGTGGGTACTATATATAGCCGGAGGCATCGTTTTGGAGACCCCGGGCTTTGAATAACTGTTCTGTTGAGATGCAGTTTCAATACTTACAGCCACTCTTCAATAATGTATCTTTGTTCAGAAGATAAATCATGTACTCCATATTTCAAAATGGAGTGCATGATTTAAACTAGTGATTCAAATTAGTACTTCTAGGTTGCCTTAGTTTCACCAACAAATACAGCTGAACTGATTGCCCATTAATAATTACTGAATGCTTGCTTTCATTGTACTCTGAAAATTTGGACTATTGATTTTACTGGTAGATTTCTCACCCTCAGTTATTTTCTGTTCAGTGTTTCAGTTGATTATTGTTGTTGCATTTGTCAGCATTAAAAAATTCTCATTACTTCCTTTCTGTAAGGCACCCTGAAGTCTTAAAGCAATTCAAAAGCATTGCCATTGATGACAGACAGGAAAGACAACATTTAAAACCTTCAAAGCCTTATCAGTAAAAGCTGCCAATGTGTTTGTTCACAGGTTTTCTAGCAGGGGTATGTAGACTTCAGGCTTATGGGTTCACCCAAACTGGAAGAGCTTGATCTCACCTTTGCCCTTTCCTGTTCTGTTCTGCGGCATATCTCATGTTAGCATTTGCAGCATGAGCAGTCTTGGTTTTGCTTATATTTATTCTTCAAGTTTTATTTTCTATTTTAACAATGGAAGGAATGAATGTAGTCACTGTAAAATCATCCTTGTTCTAGAGAGCAACAGGAAAACAAAAACATCTCAGAATTCAGTGATGAAGACTGTTCTAAGACCATGCAAAAAAGGAAAACCAAGTTGCCTCTGAAAGGAGAATATATGGAAGACAGAGACAAGAAGGACAAGGAAACAGTTAGTATAGCTCTGTTGATCAGCTTGAAGGTTAGGCCAGTCCAGTTGTAAATAGTTTTTGTTTTGCACTCAAATAATTCTGATGTTTAAATTGTTGTTTGCTTTCTTCACAGTATAATGAGATGTTTAAGTCTAGAATAAACATAATATAAATGGAATACTGTGTTTTAATTTGTATTTGACTGTTTATGGTGTGTGACCCAGTATGATTATGGCCACATTTGTTCCATTCTTATTTTTCATGTTAATGCCAGGGACATGCCTGGGGAAAGAAAGGAGTAAGTTATGCTGTGGGACTTACTTTATACATAGATACACCTGAAAATGTACATGTGACAAGAACAAGCTAAAGCAAAGGGTTTCAGAAATTTTCTTGCTGTAAGGTTATTTGAATTAAGTAAACTTCATTTTTACAATCTAGGAGGAGAATCCGGAAGGAAGAATGTTAAGAGTATCTCAAAGAGCGACACGGAAAAGGAAAAGAGAGATGGCAGTTTTAAAACAGAGTAAGTTGATTTATGACCATTGTTATCAGTTTCCCAAAAAGACTCTTCACCTATGCTGTGGTAACATATAGATATATTACAACGGCAGGTGTACACTCCAGAGGGAATTATTCATTGCAAAATGTATTTGTTCAATATGTGGTTTTGTAAAATTTACCCTTTAAGTGTGTATATCAGTAACTTTCATGTTCATCTACTATAGAATACAAGGTAGAGTGATGTGTGATCATTCACACTGTATTTCTTGTGTATATAATATAGCATTGTGTTGCCTTATATTCAGTCAGTTGTGTAAACTTTCAACCATTTGTGATACTGGATTTAATATTTCCGTTTTACTACCTGACCAAATAACTTCCTTTATACTCCAGCTTTGTTTTAGCATCACACAGGGGAGCTTTAAAGTATAAATGGGATTAAGATAATTGAATTGCTTGAATGCTAGCAAAGCATTTCTGTTTTGCCTTTGTGAGATTTGTTCAAATGGTTTTTGAGAACATGCATTTTAAAAGCAGAAGTAAGCCTTCAATTAGTGTCCCCTGTGAGTAGTTTCATAGCTAAACCCTGTGCTGAAAGATAAGAAGAATTTATAGAAACCAGTAATATATCCAAGAAAATGTCTAAAGTAGCATAAAACTCTTGCCATAGATCTGGACTGTTAGCAGAGTAGATACATAAATTAGAGGAAAACAACAGGATTAAGAAGGATTGGTTTACTGCATAACTCTCTGCAATGTGATCCATAAGTTTTGCTTTGGCAATAACTATCCACCTCTGTTAGCTATTAATTAATAGTAAGCAAGATGTAGCTCTGCTGTTTACTCTAATGCAGTAAAATTAAAATCAGCCATCAATTTGGTGCAAACAGCAGGGTATTATAAGAGAGTCTTAGCTGGTACAGCTACTGTACCATCCATTGTTTATGTCGATTATTTGTAAAGCTTTTACTTTCTAATTTTTCAATTCCTTACATTTTAATTCCAGCTTTAATGTCAAAGGGAAAGAAAATGTGGAGTTGGTCATCGTATTTAGAAGAAGAAAAAGCCATTGCCGCTCCTCCTAAGATTTTTAAAGAGGTATGTTATCCTCCAAAATCCTAAAATACAGCTTTTTTTTTTTTAGAAATAGCCTAAATCAAGTATTTTGCTAGGTAATTGTTTTTATTAGTGTATACTGTAGAAATTTGATATGGCCATTTTCTTTCTTTTACTCAGCAAAATGTATTTCATGTGTTAGAAGTTGAAGAGTTCTTGTGACTTGTCAGATGAAGTCTTATCAGCTGTAATCTTATGACTGACAACTGTGCAAGAGACAGGGTGTTTCCAAGCTTCAGGGTTGTGTTTATCACACTTCACCCACCCTTTACCCACTCTTGTAGACAACACTTTCAGATTTGCTTGTTTCAACAAGCTTTTAATGATCAATTGGATGAATCATATTGCTGCCTTAGTTTTAAACTGTTCTGTTATGCATGGTGTTTGATTTGTAGTGTTAAAATTGAATTGAGTTTTAAGATAGGGTTTTTACAGGGCTAAACAGAGACTTTTGTCAGGGACATGTATGGATGTCCCTGCTGAAAAAAACAATTTAATCCTATGGGACATCCTGTTTTAAAACAAGTCCTTACCTTTGAGTGTTGTCAAAAGTAAGTTCTTCTGTAAAGGGAGTGGCTACAGTTTCCCACTGTCCTGAGTACCTAGAGGCTTGGGAAAGAGTGAAAAAGGTGGTGGACACTGATAACAGTTGGGCCTAAACTTAAAACCCAGATGATCTCACTGCGAAGAGGTAAAATACTTGCCACCTGCTTTGGCAAGCAAAGATCTTCTAGCACTTTTGAGTGAAACAGAGTAATAAAATCTTTGTCAGAGTCCGTATATTTAAAAGCAAAGTAACATATTAAAATTTTTGTCAGCATCCATGGAAAGTGCCTGCTTTGATAGCACTTACACAACTCCAAATTACTGAGTTTTATTTTTTTTACATATTTTAAAAAATGAAAACATTTGCACACATTTCTGACACAATGTAAAAAAAAATAGGTGGCAAACAATTGACTGCCTCTCCACTGTGCTCCCTGGTACTTTAGAGGGGCTGTTACTGACTATAAGTTCAGAAATTGTGAAAGGGATCTCTCAAAGAAATGGAACAAATCCACAGTGACCACTAAAGAAGCTGCTATCACGGCACGGGGAAGAAGCAAGATGGGGTTTGCCATGCATTTCTGGGACATCTGGAGGAGAATTTGTCAGAGTCCATATATTTATACTGTAAAACAAAAAATCAATATTGCAGAAAATGGAGCAGTTTGGATTTTATGTAACTTATTTATAATAATTTATATATACCATTTAGCAAGATGGGGTTTGCCATGCATTTCTGGGACATCTGGAGGAGAATTGAGGGGGAAGGGTGGGACAAACTATGGTGAGCCTGACTGTCTGTGTAGTGCGCCAAGGCAGAGACAAACCTCCACTGTGGCATATTATTGTGGTGGGTTAGCTTGTTATGTGAACCAGCCCATCTTGTGCCTACCAACATAGTGTAATGTATGAAAGTACCCTTCTATCACAAATGCCGAAGCAGCTAGACAGACATAAGAGCAAACTGTATATTAACTGTATATTGTCTGTATATTAGAACAGCTCAGAGGAAACCAGAAGCCTATTACTTCCTGTGCAGCTTAGAGTGATAGCAGTTCAGTAATGATAGCTGGCATTTCTACTGTTGATGACTTTAAAATAATTACCAAACATTTTTTGTTTAAATCAACTAAATAGACTTTTTATCTTGAACTGTAAAACATAAAATCAAATAATATTGCAAAAAATGGAGCAGTTTGGATTTTATATAACTTATTTATAGTAATTTATGTATACCATTTAGTTCACAAGCTGAACATGAGTGCAATAGCACCCTCCCATTGTCATTCCTCAGCAACTGGAATTCAGGAGCATACTGAAAGTAATAAGTAGTCATCATGACTAGTAGCCCTTGATAGCCTTATTCTCAGTGAATTTGCCTGATATCCTTTTAAAGCCAACCAAGTGGCCATCATTTTATTCTAACTATGTAGAAGAAGCATTTCCTCTTATCTTTCCTGATGTTCCCTTATTCAGCTTCTTTGGACTCCTCCAGGTTCAAGTATTATGAGAGAGCGAGGAAACCCTTCTCAGTGTTCACTCCACACCATGTATATTTTTCCATGTTTTTCCTTAGTCCCCCTTTTTGTAAGCTATAAAGCCCCAACTGTTGGAACCTTTCCTTGAAGGGATATTGCTTCAGCCCCTTGATAATTTTGTAGCCTGAAGTGCCTGATCCTTCCTAATCTTGGAAGCTAAGCAGGGTCAGGCCTGGGCAGAAGTGTGATGGGTGACTTGAGTGTACAATTCTATGATTATTGCTGTCAACTGCCTAGAGAGCTTTGGCTATGGGCAGTATAAAAATGTAGTAGTAGTAGTAGTAGTAGTAGTAGTAGTAGTAGTAATAATAA